CCCCGAGCCCGCCGCCGGCCTGCGCAAGCCCCAGCTCAAGCTCAAGATCAAGCTGGGGGGGCAGATCCTGGGCACCAAGAGGTGAGGGGGGCCGGGGGGGGGCCCGGCTGGTCTCCTCCCCCACCCCACAGGCACCGCGGTCCTCGCTTGGACGGGTGTCCCCACGTCCAACCCTTGCCGGGGTTGGGTCCCCCACGTCCCGGTTGGCCCAGCCCGGCCTCACCGGCTCCCCCGCGCTCTCTCTCCGCAGCGTGCCCACCTTCACGGTGGTCCCCGAGGCGCCGCGCTCACCCTCCCCGCTGATGGTGGTGGACGAAGAAGAGGAGCCCACGGAGGGGGTGCCCATCGAGCAGTACCGGGCCTGGCTGGGTGAGCCCCGGGGGTAGCGGCACCGATGCAGGGGGCAGGGGGCTGCGAGGGGGGGTTTGGCTGGAAGGGAGGATGGTGGGGAGCCTCGGAGGGCTGGGGCTGGAGGAGGAGCCTGCAGGGATGACCTGGTCCCCTCCGAGGGGGCAGGGACGGTTCCTGCGGGCTGGTCCTGCTGCCTGGGACAGCGTGAGTCACGCTGTCACAGCGTTGGGGGCAACAATCCCCCCTCCCGGTGACTCTTCTCCTCCCTGCTGCCTGGCCCAGATGAGGACAGCAACCTGGACCCCTCACCCCTGCCGGACCTGGACTCGGAAAGCTGCTTTCCTGCCCGCGAGGAGGAGGAGGAGGAGGAAGAGCGTTGGCTCGATGCCCTGGAGAAGGGTGAGCTAGATGACAACGGGGAGCTCAAGAAGGAAGTGGATGAGTCGCTGCTGACAGCCCGACAGGTGAGGGGTGGCCACAGAGCCGCCTGGGGCAGGGCTGAGGGGTGCAGCTCAGCCTGCCGGGGCTGTGGGGCTGGTGGCCCCAACACTGTGTTGGCTTGGCTGCCTGCTCAGGTGAGATGGGGTGCTGCGGAGGTCCCAGAACTGGTGGGGAGCCACATTGGAGCCCTCAGAGGGGCAGGGAGGGCCCTGTCTGGGGTTGTGACGGTGCCCCCATGCCCCCGCAGAAAGCCCTCCTGCACAAGCAGCAGAGCCAGCCGCTGCTGGAGCTGCCCATGGGCTACAAGGCGAAGGAGCTGACGGAGGAGATGCTGGTGAAGCGGGAGGAGCGGGCCCGCAAGCGGCGCCTGCAGGCGGCCAAGAAGGCAGAGGAGAACAAGAACCAGACCATCGAGCGCCTGACCAAGACCAACAAGGCCAAGGTGAAGACGCTGCGAGAGCGCAAGGCCAAGCAAGCCCCCTGCCCCGTCGTCCACTACTGCAACGCCACCGACCGCATCACCGTCTCCTTCCCGGCGGGCATGGCCCTGCCGCTGCTGCCCGCCCCGGCCCCCCCCGTGCCCCCCCCGGTCCTCTGTGGCGTCGCCGGCTGCTCCAACCATAAGCGTTACTCCTGCTCCCGCACCGGCCTGCCACTCTGCAGCCTGGCCTGCTACCGGAGGAATCTCCAGCTGCAGGAGGCCGCAGCATAGGCTGGGGAGAGCGGACACACACACCGGCCCCTCCGCCATGGACAGAAGGGGGGCCGGGGCTGTCGGGCAGCCCCAGTGGGGACTGAGGCGGGGGGGTCCCGGGGCAGTGACGGGGGTCCCGGGGCTGGTCCCACGGTGGTGCCGCCGCCCGGTGCCGCGGAGCTGATTAAAGGCTGTTGGAGAAGGAGCCGTGTGTGGGTCCGCCGGGCCAGGGGGAGACCCTGCCCCGCCCCCCCCCCCGGGGGGGG